CGTCTCCGGCCCGTAGACGGCGGAGATGATGACGTTGTCGAGTCAAAGTAGAGCAAAAAAACAGGAAGTTGGGACAATTGGCTGGCCTTCAAAAACAAGAAGTCAAGTCATGTTGCCATCCTCCGCCTCTTTCCTGTCTGTATGCAAAGCCGCTCACTCATTTGTGATGTGCGTGTGCGAACGTGTGTTTGTTTGTATGTGTGTGTGTGTTTGTGGCTCCTCTGGATGTTTAGCGTCTGCGCTTTTTGATTGTGTGTGTGTGTGTGAATTCTTCATATTTTGTGTGTGTGTAATGTGTGTGCATGTATATGTTTTGTATGTGCAGAGGCAGACGGTGGAGTTGATCCCGATCACCAAAGTGAGTTACAAGTGGAAGGGCGACTCTCACGTGTTCTACGTGTTTGGCAACGAGCAGCAAGTCAGCGCCGCCAACTACCCGGCCAAGTGCTGTTGCGTCATCCTCTAGGCACAGGAAGTCCCGCCTCTTCCACTTCCTCTGTTGCTGGTGATCGCCCGAAACAAAACCGTCAAAAAGTCGTCAAATTCGGGGGGGGGTACCAAATTTTTGGATTTAAACATTTGTACACTGTTGCTGTACAATTTAAAAAAGGAAACAACAATAATGACTTTTGGGATGTTCAAGCGGATTTTAAAACATGTAAAAAAAAAAAACCTGACGATATCTGGACACTTTTTGTTGGACAGCCTCAGGCTTCATTTATACACCACCGTTGCCTAATTTTAAGAGAGAAAATTGATCAAATTTTCAGTTTTTACATTTGAAAAGTTTTTTTTGGTTAGACTATACACCATTTTTTTAAAAATTCAAACTGACTAGATGTTTCGTTGGATGGGCTTTGGCTACTTTTTGAAAATTTAAATAATGCCACTGCTGTCAAATAAGATTTTCTCTGTTTAACTCATTAATATAATGATAAAAATATGATATAAACATATTTTGCATAGTAGTTTACTTGAATATAATTACATAAGTATAATTGTATAAAAATAATATAAACACATTAATACATGAAAGTACATTTATGAAAAAAATACACAAAAAATAGATTAAAAACTGGTTTAAACAGATTTAAAAAACGGAATAAAATGTGGATGTTTTTTGTTGGACAGTCTCAGGCCATTTTTGGCGGATTTTAGCAACAACTGCTAAAAGTAGAAATGTCATCAATTTTAGTTCAATATTTCGTGTTCATCGTAGGCTGAATGCAAAACCAGTAAGCAAAGATGATCAAAGTACAAATTTGCCAGAGGTGACCACTAAATTGACCTTTAAAAAAAAAATGGGGCTGACCAGTCCAAATATTGCCATTGATGCTCGTTTTTGACACGATTACCTCAAATGTGGGTCCATCGCTTTGAATGACATGCAAGACTTTGTGGATGTTTTCCATCTTTTTCCTTGGTCGTGTAATCTCGACCGGAGCAAATAACTTTCCTAAAATGAATGTGCGCGTCATGAAATTGTCCGTTAAATATCTAGCATATGTGAGAAGTTGGTATTGAAATGTCCTTGAGAAAACTCCAGTGCTCCCAACTGGCTGCCTCCAGCACAACCTGAATGAGTCCTTGCCAAATAGTTGTTTGTTTGTTTGTTTGTTTGTTTGTTTTAGTAAATACGTGCTGCGGCACTATGCGTTACATGCCTTTCTAGAAATAAACTGCATACAGCATTTTAGGCGTCTCTTGTTTATCATGTGACATATACACGACTGCTTGATGTGATGAACTTTTTTTTTTTACAATTTGTCCAAGCAGCCACTCGCTAACCTGACGGATGATTTGATCACGAAAAACTTGGTGCTGATGATGTTTTGATGGCTTGTAGTGTTAAATGTAGGTAGAAAGGCTCTTTGTTATCAGTGTGCCCTGTCAAAAACAAATAAATACTCACTCTCACTGGACTCTGCTCTCACATTTATTTGAATAACCAATGGTTTAACATTTTTAACTGTTATATATGTGTGTGTGTGTCGTCTGTATGTAACTATGTACCTATCCATTTCATTTATTTATCTCGCTAGCTTTTCTTTAATTTTTTTTTTTTTTACTACATTTGCTGAAAAACTGAACGCATCCGAAAGCTTGCCAGCTATATTTCAGGAGCAAAGTGTGTAGAATGCACTTTGGAATGAGGAGTCAACAATAGACGAGGTACATTTTGGAAAATGTAGCAGCTACAAAGACCCTGCTAAGCAATACAAGCCGAACAGTCATTTCAGAAAAACCAAACAAATCGAGAGAGGAAAGTGACACGTGTAGAAATGAAATTCAAAGCAAGAAACTACTACAGTAAACCCAGTGGGCGTGGCGTCGTCAATTACCGTGACGCGTTGGTTTACGATATAGGCCCGCCCCCCTTCCCCCTCCGTCCTCATCCTCAACCAGTGAAGAAGACGAAGAAACACCTCCGGCGGCCAAGAAGCTTCACGTGAGTTTTTCCTTCGTTTGTGTGTCTCGTTTCGACGATTACATGTCGGTTTCTTCTTGTTTTGTGCTTCGGTGTCTATTTGGACCGCCATTGTGTGTTTTCGTCCGTATGCTGAAGTCGCGGAGTGTCGCGTCGAACAAACTTGACCGGTGGTCCCTTGCAAACTTTTGGGCAACTTTGGCTCGTTGTCATGGTGTCATGGCAAGTAAAGTCTTAGTCAGAATCGAGGCTGCCTGCTGTACGAAGGAAGGAGAAAGGAAACGAGGGTGACGGTTGTTGAATGGAGCAAAAGTCTTTTGTTTGTTTGTTTGTTTGTTTGTTTTTTTTACTTGTTTGTTGTTGACCAAAAGTGTGATGGCATCTCTTGGCTTCACTCGTGACACTAGCGACCCCTTAAAAGGTGGCCAAAGTAGAGCTACATCCAGTCGAGTAGAACCCTCCAGGCTCGCGGTTCGGTACCCGTTATATTCACCTATTCGCGGATTTGTTGTCAATATTTCAACCCAAAAAAACGTTCTTTTTTTTTTTTTTTAAATAATAATTTTTTGGGGCAAACGAGTATTGGTTGTCTATCAGTGATTTTATTTATTTATTTGTAATAATGGGCTTCAGTTATGTTTTGCAAATCACGTTCAACCGAAATGTAACTGAATAGAGTTCAGCGACAAGATATGTCATGTGCAAACAGATAAAATGGATTCTTTTTATCAAATAATCATTAAGTGCAGTCGTATGGCTGCAACAGGTTCCAAAGAAGCTGGGACAGGATCCTATTTAGCGCTGTGCTGTACCACCTTTTTCTTTGAACAACATTCAAAAAACGTTAGGGAACTGAGGACACTAATTGTTGAAGATTTGTAGGTCGAATTATTGTTATTCTTGCTTGATGTACATCTTCAGCTGTTCAACAGTCCATTGTCCTTCATATTGTGTTTTTAATGGGGGTGGGGGGGCAGGTTTGGACTGCAGGCAGGCATTTAGACATGTCACTTTTAAATATTAACATCTTTTAAATAAATAGTCACTTCCTCTCTCATTTGTTGAAAAACTCACTTGTGCATTGTTGCAACAAAACGCTTATTTTAGGAATAATAAGCCTTTTGGGGTTGGGGGTTGTCAGATTTTTTGGGGGGCTATTCGTAGCTGGGCTCTTTTGTTTTCCTCTTAATTATCTGATAGGTGGAGCATTTCAACTCCATTCTATTAAAATTCATAAAGATTCCATCTCAGTCATAAGTCATGTTTGTTTGATGGTTATATGGTGTAAGTTTTTATCATGGAAAAAGGCCGGCTGTTAGGGGGAAAAAAAAACTTTTGTTATTTTTGGTGGAGATTTAAGAGGTGCGCTGTATGGTCTTTTTATGGCAGCTTTCATCCTGAGGGTCAGTGTTCCGTCAAGGGGGAAAAAAAAAAAAAAGGTGGGGGTGGATAGGTTAATTCCGCCCCCCTCAAAAAAAGGAGGAAAAAAAAAAGCAGCTTTTACAAGAAAAAAAAAGGGAGGAGATGTCGGGAAGAGCATGTGGACAGGAAACGGCCGTTGTGTGTGTCTGGGAGTACAGTAGACTGGATCGCGACTCCACGCTACGAAGTAGAACCACGTTCGCAAGCAAAGTGTGTGAGCGTGTCGCTTTTAATTCTGTTTTTGGAAGCGAAAACTTTGCGTCTTGTCTTCACTCAGTCGTGCTTCACTGAAACCGGAAGGTGTGCTTTCCTCTTTGTTTGCGCTTTCCTGTTGATTTGTTTTAATTAAAGCCAGAAATGACACAGACTCAATCAGTTTACGTTTCAAGGTCTACACATTTTCCTCTCTTGTCGTTTTCACTGTTGTACTGTGGATGTGTTGATCTGTGGGAAAAAAAAACTAGTCTGGTGTAACGGGACCCTGAAGGTAGCCGACAGATGATAACATGCCAACGCCGATCCCTTTCAGTTGCGCTCTTTCCTCAGTCTTGATCTTTGATACGGCTTGAGTTCAAGCCTCAGATTGTCACCGTGGGGAAATAGTGCCGAACACTCGACGCATATGAAAAAAGTTTGCCGTTCTCCCACAGAACCGTTTTTCGCATTTGCGACGAAACCAAAATGCTCCTTTTTCAAGTTTTCACATTCATGCTCCGAAACGTCAATATTTTTCAGTTCACGACAAGACTTCTGGAAAGGGACCCTTAACGCAGTCTGCAAATGCTAAAATCTCCCCTTTCTCCCTCTGTCCTGCTCCTTTGGTGCCACTAAAGTTGAGTCATCAGATGAGCTTAGTTACACTGTGAAATATTGCCACAATTTAAGCCGACCACTTTGGCCAAATGATTGTTGGATGCATTGTAAAACCTTGGCAGCGTTTCCCTCCTAGAATTTATTATTCATATAGCTAAATGATTGCAGTTGGCGGAAGGGTGAGTGGGGGCGTGGTTTAAAAAAAAAAAAAGCAACTTTCGAAATGGTCGTCACGTCATCGTTAGGCAAGCCGGGCTCCGGTTTTGCTCGCTTTGCTATTTCAACCTGCAGAGGTGGCAAAAGTCGTCCCGCGCGCCACTGCAGGGTCCTTCTTTGTTCTGCCCGACAAAACGGCAAGACCCGATTCAATCCAAATCATCACCGTGGTTGACTTTTCTGAATGTCATTTCTTGCCACCGCTGCTGACCTGGAAAAAGTGTGAGCGTGTATTTATAGCGTCATAATCAAAGCAGATCCATGCACTGAAGTTTGCTCACGAGAGAGTGAAAAACTGGACGAGTTTCCCCATTGGGAGGCTGCTGCTTGTTTCCATTGTGGCGTCCACACAAGATTCCAGATGTCGGCGAGAGCAAGGAGTTCCGTCACGCGTTACTCTCAGCATGGGAATGACCTTATCAGCCAAACCCCACCCTCCCACGCCCTCTGGCAACCCCCCCAAAATAACAGAGAGATAGCGTGACCCCATTCAGTCTCTCAGTCCAGGAAACGGGCGGCCGTGAAGACAAAATGTCCTGAAACTGCGCTATCGTCAGCCAGATATGCTGGCACTTCCTGCAGTTGTTTTGAAAATTCGGCCCCAAAGCCAGTTTTCACTTGGCAATGTGCTTTTTTTTTTTGTTTTTTTTTTGGTAAGGCGCATGCGTCTATTATGAGTAGACCCATCCAAAAAGTCTCAAGGACCTCTGCCCAAAGACACACAGCAAGTCTGTCCCGGTTGGGTCAAGGCAGCCATTTCGGCACCGAAACGCTGGAAGTTTTTTTATTTTTTTTTTTTCTTCATCTTTTTTTTTTTTTTTTATTATTATTTTAAAAAAAAATTCAATAAAGTGATATTTGGGAGGAGTGCCTATTGTGAGTAGACCGACCAAAAAGTCTCAAGAAGTCGTGCCCGGAATTCCACAGGCGGTCGGTCGGTCTGCCATTTTGGTTCAAAGCAACTTTGGAAAGGAAAAGTTGAATCGAATTTGGCTCATGACTTCATTCGTTATTTTAAAAATTCAGCTCTTGGAGCCACTTTCACTCGGCGGCGTAAACGTTGGTTGGCGTGTGTGTCATGTCGCCGTACAAAAAAGTCTGAAGAGGCCTTTGCTCAAAAAAACACAAATTGTGGTTCAAAGCAGCCATTTTGGTCACTCTTGAATTGATTTTGTTTCTTCATCTTTATCACCTCCCAGAGCCAGTTTCTTTTGTTCGTGCGAAATTTGTTCAGAATGTCGATTGGGAGTAGACTCACACAAAAAAAAAAAAAAAGTCTCGAGTCATGCCCAAAGATAACCCAGGAAGTCTGCAGGGAACTCTTGAATTTGTGTCATTGTTTGATCTTTTTTTCAAAAGTCATCCCTCGGAGGCAGGCTCATGTAAAAACATGCAAGTGAGTCGGCGTGTTTGTCGTGAGTAGACCAGCAAAAAAAAAAAAAAAAAAGTCTCATGCCCAAAAAAAGACACTGAAAGTCAGCCATTTTGGCCCTTTTGGGTTTGAACGTTGCAGCCGAGGTTTATCACGAAATTCCAAGTCAGTAAAGTTTTCTAGGAGCTCGTTTGTGTTCCGGAGATTTTTTGTGTGTAGGTTTCTTCTGTTCGTTTACGCTCCAACCTGACCTTACTTTGTCCCCTCGCTGTTTTAACCTTTTGTACGAGTTTGTACAGCGGAGCCGTGTGCTAATGCACTTTGCTAATCCATGAGCTTAACTTCTTTTTTTTTCTTCTTTTTGAGTTCACAAGGAGGCCCACCTGGCAACGATTAAAACAGACTTTCAGTTGTGCTCTTGCCTTTCGGCTGCGCTCGGAATGCAACGCTCGCTCGTTCCCTACTACCTGATCACGATCGAGGGATTTCTATATCGTGGACCGTGTGGGCGACGGGCCGGCCCGCAAGTTGCCAAAATTTGCATTGAAATATAGCGGGCGAAGAGAAAAATGAAATGCTGAAAAACATTCATTTGATGTTTTCCACCCAAAATGGGGAGGATTTGGGGGAGAGAAAAATAAAAAAACATATTTTTAAAATATTGAAAAAGGTTGATGGGGATAAAAACAAAAAAAAAAAACAACAATATTTAAATCCATGAATGCGGAACCGCAAATATGCAGCGGTCGACTGTACTACTTGTCACATTTAGAGGGCTCCAGGGCTCTGTCTTGGGTCCATTATTGTTTAATCGATGAATAATATGTGTGCTATCAGATTTTTTTTCTTCAATATTTTTAGGGGGGAAATGCATTTCAATTGGCGGCAGTTATTTCCTACGCTGATTTGCGGGCTGGCCGAGTCCCTAATCTTTCCCAATAGAACTCTAGTGGACTGTAGTTCTTCCATCAGTGCCTTGAAAACTAGTTTTGCAACAGTACTTGACATGATTCATGCTCTGAGGACTTACAGTATGCTCACCACACATTCCAAACTTGTCAGCATAGAGAGGGATTTGGAACACCGCCTTACACTGATGTATTTATTTTTTTTTCTCTTCTTCCCCCGCGCGCCGCAACAGGAACGCAGCCTAGCGTGTACCGTACAGGAAGTGAACGCCCTCGTCGGGGCCCCCGTGGAGATGAAGGCGAAGCAAGCGGAGCTTGCGGAAGCCCGCCGGAGGTGCAGATGAGGTTGGCGGGAATGCTAACGGGGCCACGCCCCCTCGCGCCTCCGGCCATGTTGTCGAAGAGGAAGGCGTGCGTGGCGCTGGGCATCGCCGCCCTCGTCCTCCTCATGCTAGCCAGCCAGAGCATCCAGAGGAAGCACTTCCTGTCGCTGTCCGTGGCCACGCCCACCCGAGACAACGTCAGCCAGGAGACGGGTGAGAGATGCTCACTGTTGAGCGGGACTCGCCGCGCGTTGAGATTTTAATGTTTGAAAGCAGGCTTGAGAGACCCGCTTCGGGTTCCAGGCCAGCGTAAAAGGTTTCAATATGTTTTCAAGTCGGGGTCACGGGGTTTAAAGTTTTGCTTTGAACCCCTAGTTAGGGTTTTAAACACGGTCTTAGTGGTTTATGTTCGTGTTTGAAGCCTGATTAGCTTTTTAAACAAGGCTTCATGTTTCAAATGATGCTGTCAAGTCACGTCACGATGTGAAGCAAGGGTGAGGCTTTCAAGTCAAGCTTCGGGTTTCAAACTAGGACATCAAGACAGTGTTAGGGTTTTAAATTAGGGCTTCAAACCAGCCAAAGGATTACAAAATCGGGTCGCAAACAAGAGATCGGGTTTCAAACTTGAGTTAGGGTTTCACATTAGGCTTGTTTTGAGAAGAAGACTTCAAGCGCCTATTTAGTATTTGAAACAAAGGCTGGACTTTAAACTTTCGGATTTTAAACCAAGGTTAGGCATTCATAAAGTCTCAGGGTTTCATATCGGGGTGATGCTATTGAGTTCGGATTTGAGCCTGGGGTGGGGAGTTCAAGACGAGGTTTGCTTTCTGTTTTGAGGATGGATGTTGTGTTTGCAGAGCTTCCTGCTGACGTCGGCGGCCCCCAAAAACTTGTCAGCACCGCCCCGCTTGACAAGCTGGCGCAAGGCGACGCTGGGCAGGATGCGAGGTAACGCAGTGAAGGGCAGGGGGGGGTGCCCTTCACTCCCCCCTTAATATTTTGGGGTTGGTCTCACCGGCGCGCTCCTCTCAGGCCCTGCGGTTGTCCCGAGTCGTGCGTGTCTGACCTGAGCGAATCCGACTGGTTCCGCCGTCGCTACGATCCCCGACAGCGGCCCGTCCTGCGCAACGCCAAGGACCGCTTGAACCCGGACGCGCTCAACTGGTGGCTTGTGAGAACTGCACGCCGGACATCCAAAACGCATGCCGTACATACAATTTTTGCAAACATCGTTGAAACGAACCTAACGTGCGCGCGTTCCTAAACGTCAGCAACAAACGTCACACGCATTTTATGATAATCGGTTTGGTCCGACAAATCTTCAAAATGTTGAAAAAAAGGGATAAACGTAGAATCGGGCTGTCACTGTCAAATATTTTTAGAATTGATAGCTTTTCACTTCTTTTCGTCGCCCTCAAATCGACTTCCTCCATCAAGAAACCGTGTTTTCGTCAACACGAAAGGCCAGTTGAGAAGCCCGATACGGCCTGAGATCCTCTTGATAGCTTTTCACTTCTTTTCGTCACCCTCAAATCGACTTCCTTCATCAACAAACGATTGACACGAGAGGCCAGTTGAGAAGCCCGATACGGCCTGAGATCCTTTTGCCGACCGGTCGCCTTCCGGGAAGTTATTTGCGGGCAGAGCGGGCAGCTTCCATTAGGGCCGGCAGCCACGCCGATGACGACGAGAGTGGAAAGATGTCATGACAACGAATTTTTAAGAGCCTGCGCCATGCGCGGGCCAGCGTCTGTGGAGCATCCGCAACATCCGTTTATGTTTCTGCTGGGTTCTGCCTGGTGGCGGGACCGGCACGTCTGAGCATATTTCCTGCTCGACATTAACGCACGCACACACACACACACACACACACACACACACACACACACACACACACACACACACACAGGCCATTAGGAGATTAAAAGGTGTGGCGTTGGGTTGGGGGGGTGCAGACTGTGATTTCATCTTGCTGAGTCACTGTGTCGTCAGTGCACCAAGCAGCCAGATTGGCCCCTTGAGGCAGCAGTTGATGGGAGCACAGGCGCTACTCCAAGCGCCAGTTTCTTCAATTTTTCTTTTCACATTAAAGTCAATTTTACTTTGAAACCCCCCTCCCCCCCAAAAAAAAATTGGAGAATGAAAAATAGAACTACAATACAGTGGGCACCCATATACTCGTGGTTCGATACCCATGGGTTCACTTTTTTTGTTTTTCTCTTTTATTTAAAAAAATAAAATCAAATCCATATACGGTGGCTCTGAAGTGCAAAACACGACACCAAATGACTAAATACAACAGCAAAAAAAAAGACAAATCTAAACACAACATCGAATAAAATTGGAAACAAATAAAAAAAAAAAAAAAAAACACCAAAAAGATAAACAAAATTTAAAAAATACCCGTTTTTGGTTTTTGGGTCCAAACCATTGAGTGATTAAAGCACCAAATCACTGGAAAAAAAAATGAACACATGACAACAGGTCGAAGGCAAGCGTACTGACATTCAAACAAAAAAAACAAAAAAAAAATCCCCTCCCCCGCTCCCATGTTTTCAGTCTGTGATCAAATTAAACAAATGCCAAAGGTCAAAGAATTGTCAAATGTTCCAAAAGTATTTTCATTCAATATGTACTTTTCAAAATAATTTCCCGCGTAGTTTCTGCCAGATATTAGAAGCGCCATTGGCCGAAAAAATCCACACAGGTTTGGCTGTCGAAAAAAAATCGAGGGAAAGTTGACGTGAATTCTTTGCATTCAATCATATTACGTTTTTATTTCGTACAATACTGTGATGTGCTATTTTGCCGGTACGATTTAATGTCATTTCCACGCATTTGAATGGCAACCGATTTACGATACGATTGATTTGAGTTTCGAGCACGGTCGCGCAACGAACTCGACTCGTAAGTGACACGATCGCAATTGTGGAAAATAACCCGCGTGGAACGACGGGCTGTTTTTTTTTTTTTTGCCTCCCCAGAGTCTTCAGCGTTCGGGTAACGACCATACGCTACAGGGAGGGAAGTCACGCA